GAGTTAAAGGGGTGTTACAGAATAGAGCAGATGGATTGGAGTGCAGCATTAGAGGTTGTGACTTCCAAAATATTTGACTGGCAATTTTAAACTGGATAATAACTATGAAGACTATCTCTCTTTACTTCCCTTCTCATCTGTGTACATCCCGCAAAGGAAATCAGACCTGGGTTTTCAACAGTGATGGGCAAATTCAGAAAGCTTTGTTCAGAGAAGTACCCAAACGTTTGGATGTTTATCCAAACTATTCCAAAACCCTGGCCATGCAGAACCCTGGCCATCTCAGAACACCCTTTCTCATGAAGTTTCCTGGTTTTGATCAAGCTGGAAATAGCACTAAAACAGTCTGACCTGTGGTACTTGACGCATCAGTTTCTGGTACTGCCCAGAAGTCAGAGTACAGAAATGCAGTTAGGGATCAGACCCTCATGTGCTGGTGATGCACCTGGAACAGCTGGCAGGGGGTAGTAAAAAGTGTTTTTATGGCCTCCCTATACTGGGGTGAACTGGGACCCACTCACCGAGCCAACCCCCAACATGTCTCCTATATTTAGGGACATGGTGAGGGTGGTGTAAAACTTGTTATGTTGACGCTATGCCACTCAGATATGTCCCTTATGCTAAACTAATCTCAAATTAGCTGCTTATGTCAAACTTCTGGCTGCAGCCGCTCTGCACTGCAGGACTGGCCCAAACAACTGGAAGGGGAGCGAAGATCTGGCCCTACATGTCTATCTACATGTTTACACCCACAAAATGCAGTAACCATTTTTGACCCTATAAAGTTGGGGTTTCTGTGTGAACTGTGTCTTTTGCTCATAGCCACAGGCCCAATCAGAGAGCAGGGAAAGGCTTACACGCGTGAAAATTAATCACTACAACTTTAAATGGTTAGTATGATGCCCAAGGTAATGTCTCATTATTTCCTAGTGTTCTCTCTGTCCGTTTCTGTATCCCTCCAAACAATATTTATATTTATTACACACCTGACCACCCACTACTGCACTCTGAAATAAGTGACTTCATTTCATTAAACAGTTACTGATACAAATGCAGTGTAGTTCTTTTCAGCACACTCTTTTTTATCTCCTTTTACATTTATGTAAGGCTTTGGGAATCATTGAGCTGCTCTGTAAGTTAAACATTTTCAAGACAAACACTTTTCAGAGCAGCCTATAAGATAAATATTTAAAGCAATCTCCTCCACCCCCCAGGCCTCCCCTGTGTCTGGCAAATAACCCTGTTTAAGACTTGCATATTGTAACAATACTGATATTGAGCCAAATTCAGCACTGGTGTAAATGACACACAACTCCACTGACTTAAGTGGAACTGCATCCCCTTAGAACAATGGTGAACTTATCCGACTCTGTTTTGGTTTCATCCTTTATACACACATCTTCAGATGCACATGCCACACAAAAGCCAAACTAGGACATGTCATTATCACGTGTGTCAGAATCTATTTATGAGGAAATGGTGTTGTGTGTCAAAAAACACAGAGACCAGTAGTTACTCATGTTGCATAGCACCTTAACCACAAGAGGTCTAATTCACTTCAGTGGAACCACTTATATAATAAAGCTCTATTTCACATGAGTAGGGCCCTGCCAAATTCACGGCCATGAAAAACGCGTCACGGACCATGAAATCTGGTCTTTTACCCTATACTATACAGATTTAATGGGGGAGACCAGTGTTTCTCAAATTGGGGGTCCTGACCCAAAAAGTCAGCTGCAGAGGGGTCACAAAGTTATTTTAGGGGGGTCGCAGTATTTCCACTCTTACTTCTGTGCTGTCTTCAGAGCTGGGTGGCTGCAGAACAGTGCAGAAGGATGGTGACACAGTATCCAGCGTGGCCTGGGGAGCTAGTGGGGGACCTGGTGCAAGCAGCAGCAAGTGACCCAGCCCCAGCCTGCCCTGCTCTGCCCGGCATTGCTCAGGGGAGGGGGCAGAAGTCAGAAAGAGGCAGTGCAGGGGCTCGGGGTGGAATGGGAGCGGGGCACGGGCAGAGCAGGGATGGGAAGAGGCGGGGCGGGAACTTGCGGGAAGGGGTGGAGTGGGGCCGGGGCCTGGGGTGGAGGGTGACCCGGGCCCCACACTCTCCTAGGGACAGCCCTGAGAATTGCAATACTGTACCAGGCCACCCTTACTTCTGCACTGCTGCCTTCAGAGTTGGGCAGCTGGAGAGTTGTGGCTCCTGACTGAGGGCCCAGCTCTGCAGGCAGCAGAACAGAAGTAAGGGTGGCAATACCACACCATGCCACCCTCCCTTCTGCACTACTGCTGCTGGCAGCGGGTCTGCCTTCAGAGCTGGGATCCCGGCCAGCAGCCGCCGCTCTCCAGCTGCCCAGCTCTGAAGGCAGGGCCGCTGCCAGCAGCGGCACAGAAGTAAGGGTAGCAGAACCGCAACCCCCCCTACAATAATCTTGCAGACCCCACCCCCCACAACAACTCCTTTTTGGGTCAGGACCCCTACAATGACAACACCATGAAATTTATGTTTTTTTAAAATCCTGTGACCATGAAATTGACCAAAATGGACCGTGAATTTTGGTAGGGCCCTACACATGAGCAAGGCAATCTGACCCATAAAGTTTAGTGATGAGAAAAATTCAAAATAACTAGAAGCTTAACTGAATCCTGTCTGAAAAAAAATATATCATGAATGAATGAATGGTAGCATCAGCAGCAAAAACACAAGAATAATATATTTTGCATTAACTCAGGGCTTTACATGTTCAAAATGCTGTACAAACAAACTAATCCTTGGGTAGGTTTTGTAGGAAAAAATTTTCTTCAGAAAGTGAATCCAATATAATGGCTAAATAATACAGAGTAATTAGCTAAAGCATACACTATGAGTTTGTCCCGCTTTCACTGCAGTCAATTAATGACTCCCATTGACTGCAACAAGAGCTGGTGCACACCTTAAAGGTATGTCTACACTGCAATTAAAAACCCTGTGAGGTGGGAGGTCCCAGAGCTCAGGCTGCAACCTGAGCCCAAAAGTCTACACCACAATTAAACAGTCCCTTAGCCCAAGCCCTGCAAGCCTGGCATGGACAAGCCACAGGTGTCTAATTGTAGCGTAGACATAATAAGCTACTACCAGTGCTTAACCTCTCTTATCAATGGTTCCCTTGAAGATAACCGGAAGACTGAAATTATGATAGATATCACCTTACTTCTGTCAAATGTGGATATAGACATCAAAGGATATTCAGAACAAAAGGGGTTCCGACGACATCTTCTTCCTCCTTATCTCCAGCTCAGTTGAAAAACTAGAGGAACCAAGTTTGCCCTCACATCCATGGGGATAGGTGAACCATATAATGTGCTGACACTTTGCACAGAAGTTTAACATTATTGCTCTTTACATAATCACATGAGAAATACACAGATCTATACAAAAAGAATAAACCCTACAATCATTTCCCTGACTCAGTTTCCTCACCACTCCAAAGCATTCTTTGGGCTAGAGTCAGGGTCCTCTGTGGGATCCTGGGTCCCCATGCAGCTGCATGACTTCTTTTCCAAACCATGGAGCCTATCTTCCTAAGTAAGTTGGCTTCCAACGATCCTGGTAATCCGCCCCATTTTCCTATCCTGCCCAATTTCCTGAGTATGTCTCTGTAAGTATTTCCCATGTGAGTCTTTTGGCTTTGTCCTTCAGTAACTCTCCATTGCTCTCCACTTCCCTCTCTTCAGACAGGAGGAGGAAGTATCTACTCCCAGATCAAGCAAACCCATTGTACCAAGGTACTTTACCTATGATCACTGAGTTATAATGACTCCCCATTGTCTCTAGCCTGGCAGAGATGTGGAAACGGTGCCAGCTCATGGGGAAACGCATACAGAGGAGCACTTGTGATATGGCAATTTTCATAGTAATAACTTTATAATATGAACCAGGATACATAAGTGGTACAGACAGACTCCCCAAATTGTCACACTGTGCAAGTAACATTTAACAAAGGGGTCACAATCTGGCCTTACGAAAGGAGTTGCATGTCAGAATCTTTTAGTGCATTGGAAGTGCAATGGGGCTCTTCCTTAATCAGAAACACAAATCAAAAAATGCACACCAGATTCTTTGCATTTACAGTTCATACCACTGAGCACCTGGTCCTGCCTTTCAGTGCTAATGACAATCCATTCTCTGCTAATCTCTGTCAGAGCTCTCAATAACCCCGAAATGGTGGCACAGACTTAAATGAGGCTGTCTCCAGCGCTGGACCCCAGCATAACACAGGGCCTGCTCTTGTAAGATTCTCAGTTGTCATTCTCAATGGTAAAACTGCCATTGGCTGTAATGGGCGCATGCGGAATCCCATTGTGATCTAGAAGAAAGTCAGCAGCAGTACTGATAGATAGTGAATTTAAAGGAAACCTGTAATTCTATATCCTGTAATAAACAGATCATAAGGTCTGAGTAGAACAACAATGGAGCAGGCAAAGAGCAGCAGTGGGGCCCAAAGGCTGATGTTAAAGAACCCCCCTAAAGCTTTAAGAAATGTGTATTACACAAATACACAGGCCCAAACCTTCAAAGCATAATGCTATGAGGAGCTGTGCATCTTCAGCTCCTACCGAAGTCACCCTTCCTAGAGGCACTCAGCACCTCACAAGATTGGGCTCCTCAATGTCTTTTTCCTGGGGTTCTAAGAGGAAGTCCTACCTCACAAGATAACAAGGGAAAAACACAATAGGAATGAGTGAGCCAACTACAAAGGTTAGGATGAGAAACAGGACTATTGGAACCATTCACTCTCAGAAGTAGCTGATGTTCCTCCACTCCTTACTAAAGGTTCCTAATTTGGTTCCTGACATCTACCAAAAAGCTGACAGCTGAATCCAGACCAAGTTAAAGATAATATACAAATTTCAACAAACTCCAGCATCACCAATGGCTAAAGCATGCATAACTTTACTTTATAAATCACCACAGCATTAACTATCTGTTGGGAAAAAGAGAGCAACAGTCAGTATTTAGCTACCTTTCAATGTGCAGTTAGGCCAAGGAACACTTTCTTCTGGAGGCACTGCAGTCCACACTCCTGTTGGATGGCACAAATAGCCATTTGCCGGTTCACTGTCAAACTGGAAACCATCTTTGCAACGAATAATGCAGTAATCAGCTCGACAGTACAAAAATCCATTTGTGGGAGATGGAAATTTCTTGCATGCTGAGAAAAACAAGCAAGATCCTTTTAGATTTAAAAAAATAATTTGAAAATATTAAAAGTTGATTTTTGTGTGTGTTACAAAGCCATTTATTAAGTCAATAACTGTACCTGTAGTTTATCTGTGCATTTCAGTTACTTTGCTGTCAAACTCCAGCATTTGTTAACCTGTCATTTAACTTCAAATGAGGAAAAAGCATGTTGTCGGTCTGCAATCCAGAAGGAGATTGGTATGTTTCAACTGGATTCCCCATTGCATGTGCTGTTAAAATCTTCGCAATTATAATTACCTGAAGGTGGCATCTGTCCTGGGGATAGCAAGGAAGACACTGTCAGAAGACAAACGGATGCCATGGTTGTGAGAAAAAGCAGCATGATTTGGATATTTTTTTTAATTGAAGCATCAACTCCTTTACAGCACAGAGATGCTGGTACTCTTCATCTAATCGAGAAACCCTGTTTACTTAACAGTTAAACATTTAACTGGGGACAAATAAACCTTACAAACATTACCAAGGCTAAAGGGGAAGAGCCGTAGATAGACATGTTAATGATCATAAAGAAGACAAAGGGCAGTGAATGTATTCACTGAGGTGCATAACATTTATACAAATTGATTAGCTATTTTAAAGTGATGGCCCAGGTTGACGTTGATACCATTCCTAAATTCACGGAGCAGCCTTAGGAGATGATTGGCTCACCTTTCATTAATTTGCTCCTCCTGCATTCCAGGGTCTAAGTGGTTTTCTTGTCACTTTTGTCAATATTTTGGGATGGATCCTCTGCCAAACTAGTTTTAATAAAATTTCAATAGTCTCATCCATCTGTTCCGCAATGATCACTGCTTCTAAATAGATTTCTTTTTCTTTTTAGGTATTTGAATACATTTCATATCATATAAATAAAATCAATATTAAAGACTACTGATGCAAGAAACTAGGAATGGCACACACCAAGATTATTGTCTACTACCATCTGTGCTATGCAGTGCAAAGAGGAGAACCTTCCCTCAAGGAGTTTACAACTTCAATCCCATTATGCTCCCCTACTATTTAAAATAAGTAGAAGGAAACTTACTAATGTGAGAACTGAATGGCCCTAATATAACCCGAATGTCTAAGCATTCTTCTCCCCACCACGCGGAACCAGAAGCAGTTGCTGGGGCTGTGGACAGTTTGAGTATATTCTGGCTGACCTTATTGAAGAAATCTCTGAACAGTGCTTCCTATCAACAGCAGTACAGCAGGACCAATAACTGTGCTGCTATGAGCTGCTGGCTCCCAGCTGCAACCTAGGACTGGCACAAGGCAATCAGAGCAGATGTTAATGCTATGTGGAGACTGGGCAGCACCTTTCTTAGCTACTTGCCTATTCCACAAACTCTCTCTATAGATTTAATCCCGTCTGCACTCTGCAGTGAGTAGAGGAGTAGCATGTGGTGCTATGTGGTTAATGTAGTCAGTAAAATGCACTTAAAGCATGTATCTAAGATCAAAGAGCATATAAGAATAAAGAATCCATATTCACTCATTCACTGACTGAGCACAGATAAACACAATGCTGTGTGATACATAAACAGCAAGACCCTGTCTCAGGAGGGCGGGGAAGGGAAGGAATTAAAATCTTAGTTAAAGAACAAATCTTGTATAAAGGTTGTCAAGTAAGGTGTCTATGGAAAGGTTATGATTTGCTGAATATGATTATGTTATTCTTATGCATGTATCATTTTTGTATTTGATGTTATGAGTATTGGCTCTACACCTGGATTTCAAATGTTTCCTCCTGGGATAACACCCACAAGGTATTTAGCCAGCACATTTTGGAGGGCCCATCAAATTGAATGGCCCATCAAAAGAACATTTAACTCACAATGGAAGATGCCCACCTACCCTGAATGGACTTTCCTGTGAACGTGCTGTTTGAGGTATAGGTAATGACTTCTACTGTGACTAAGCAAAATTATGCATGGACATGTGACTTGCCCATGTGACTCCAAACACCACCTTGTCACCTGTGATTTGTTTCAACCAATGGGTTTACCTCCACATGGCAGAAGCTATAAAAGGCCCTGGAAACACCTCCATTTTGCCTCTTTCCTGCTTGAAGCATGGACTATGGACTTATACTAATAGGAGCATTCTAACCAAGGGACTGAGGTCCTTCCAATTTTTTGGAAGCAAACAGAAACTTGACTTAAATCAGTAGTTTATTCCATCACTGCTACAAGCCTGAACCAAGAACTTTGGAATTACTGTATGTATTTGACTCCTTTAGCCAATTTTAACTCTCACCTTTCTTTCTTCCCTTTTGTGATACTAAAGGATTGGCAACAACGTGGTTTTTTGGGTAAGATCTGAGTTGTGTGTGACCTGGGTGTGTGGCTGGTCCTTTGGGATCAGAAGAACCTTTTATTTGATGAGATTGGTTTTAAAGAACCACTCATATCTAAATCTAGTAGTTTTTGGTGGTGATGCAAAGACTGGAATGCCTAAGAAACTGCTGTTCTAACTTCTTGTTAGCCAGTGTGGTGAAACAGAAGTTTACTTTTATTGCTGGTTTGGTATACCTCATGGGAGAGTAACCTCCAGTTTTAGAGTATATCTGCTCTATTTCTCAGCAGTTTGTCCTGAATTTGGTATTCTCAGTTGTGACCCACAAATGCACCATTACACCTCCATTTTGTGGGATGGAGGGCAGGGTAGACATGGAGCTGCTCTGTAATAATTTATAAATACTGTATGTTGACCTGGCTCTTGGGGTGTTTACTAAATAAATAAGTTGGTTTAGTTTTAACAGTGTAAGGGAAACAAGCAGGAAGAATGGCTCAAGATAAGCCATCCTGCAGTAAACACTCAATGACTGCTAAGAGAACATGCCCAAGCTAGTTGCTGTGAAGGTTCTATCTCCTGACTCCAGTCAATTATAGCACTGGTTTTTGACAAGCTGGGCTGACAGTCCAGGAATGGACAAAAACTAAAGGATCTCTGGTTGGATAAGAACAGCCTCTCTCTTTCCAGAGCGGAGTTTGTTGTTGGGGAGCTGTTCAGACTGTGACAGACACCTGCTAGAGTGTTCAAAGAAGCTAAGCCTGACTAGCCCACTAGCACAGGATGGTAGGGCTTTAGGTAAGATAGGTGTGTATAGTGTGTTTGTTGTTTTAAAATCCTTCTTTATTCTATATTTGTTCATTTTTAAAATGAAACAATGGCTTGATTTAAGACTATCTGTCCGATCACTGTATTCAAAACTGGTCACAGATTCTCAAAGGGAGGAAACACAGCACCCAGTCAGAGCTGTCAATTATGTAAGCATGGTTGATGCACATTGTTGCAGCTTGGGCTAAGCTCAGGTTCTGAAGCCCACCCCGCACCTGACGCTTCAGAGCCAGAGATACAGCCCAAGCTGGAACTTTTATGCAACTATTTTTGAGCACTAGCATGAGCCCTGCAAACCTGAGTCTATCAACCTGGGCTGGGACACCTGGTCCTGCAGGCTCCAAATGCTTTGTAGACATAAGGGCTCAGAAAAAGCAAAACTATCTGTGACCATTTGGTTTGCAAGGGACAATTCTGCCCTTTGCTGAGTCCTAAAGATGAAGCAAGAAAAACGTATTTATTTTTCATTTCCCTTTCGCTTACATGAACCTCCCTTGAAGGGAACTGAAACTTCCCTAGAGACACCAGCCTTTACCATTTGAGGAACATGCTATGGAAATGTTTTTTCACATATACTGTATGACCTTAAAATGAGCCTGACTTGCTTCATGGTATGTTTGAAATGCGGGGAAAAAAAATACTGGATGTTGAAAAAAAAACCTGGGGAAATCTGTTTCCTCCTACATTTCTACATTTAGCACTGAGCTTGACATGACCTTCAATTTCCCATGATATAATCAGATATAAATGTATGTTTACTTAATCGTGATGAAATAATACGGGTTACAGAGATTTTGTGTAAAATACAAGTTTATAGCCTAGACTATAGTTACACATGTCTACAGTTTTTACGAGTCTCTAAAATAGATTTCTTCTACTCTTCAAATTATTGCATGCACACACATCCAATCTAGATTATATTTAGGAAACTCATTTTCTTTTTGGTAAAAACTCATTTCAAAGAAAATATCCAAGTCTGTACTATATGCACAGTGCAATATTCTAATAAATGGATGGACTAATTTACCAGCTAAAAATTTAATCATTTCACAGCATATGTAACTTCTTACTACGTCCTCTTTTGTAAAACCTGAAGCAAATAATAAAAGCACCACTGTTCACTGTTCTGTTCTTCCAAACATGAGGAGCAATCATATAATTAGAACCTCAGATCATTTATTTTTTAATTAAGGAAAAGAAGAAAAAAAGAACAAAAGTAAAGTTTATATGCAATACAGTGAGGGGGTGTATTTTCTCTAACAAGACTGCAGCTACTCTGACAGCACAATGTTCATGCACTCAGATGTGTGCTCTTCAAAATCTAAAGATGCATTACAAAGAAAGACATTATAATTTCATCAGCACAGGACCTGACCCCTTTAATTCTGAATATCCAATACATGCAATGAACTGTTTGCAACTGGGTTGCAGACCAAGAATTATTCACAGAAATTACTGACAAATAATTTTGATTAAACAAATATATCTGAGAAAACTATGATCTGTTTGTGGACACTTCACACACCAGAAAAAGAGGTGTGATTCATCAAATAAGTTACTCAGTACAAGTTATGGCCCTGATTCAGCAAAACAGTGACATGTGCCTAAATGCTTTGCTGAATTCACGCCTATTGTCCACCTCTAATTATCAGCCAGAAACATGTATCTGAAGTGCTGCATATTTTGGTAAAAAAAATCTTGTATTTATATGCCTTGAAGAAGACAGGAAGCTGCATGTAGTGTAAGTTATGACGCTGTTGTACAACTGAATGCTTTCAACCCCTATCCAAAATTGTATCTTTTGGTTTATTTGTTTTCCCTTTATTAATGTTTGTTCTTTTCCACCCCAAATTGTGATCCTGTAAAACAGAAAATGAATCCTTCCCTAAACAGAGCATTCAGCATACAAACAGCAGCAAAGGGCTGGAATGTACAAGCCCTTATTCACACCAACATTTTCATTCAAGTTAGCAGAGCTACTCTTGTCAGCGAAGAGTCCTCACATAAGTAAAGACCTTGCACAATTGAGTCCATAACCACCTTTTAAAAAATCTATTTTGATTCCCCCAGTGATATGCTGGCTGGTTCCAATGTGCAGTGAAGCATCATGATGGTCCCACAGATATCTGATGAAGTGAACTGTAGCTCACGAAAGCTTATGCTCAAATAAATTTGTTAGTCTCTAAGGTGCGACAAGTA